CTCAGCTTCTGCCGCTCTGAGATGACACCTTGGGGCGTGTGAGATGTTGTTTAAAGCCCCGAAATCACAAGCTGCTTTTGGGAGCCGTGGCACGTTCTTTGCTTTGCGTGCCCAGACCTTCGCGACTAAGGCCCGGCAGCGGAGCCCTGCCGACTCTGAAAAGACCATCCTCCCAACTGTGTACCGATACTTCCGTAGGGCCTGGGTACGTAACCTTGAGCCTTTCTGGTTATAAGATCCCGCTATTTGTAGAGGTTAACGCCCCTCAGATTCGTTGCGACCCTATGTAACAGATGTAGGGACCCGACTGCTGCCTTCCGATCAAGTAGCCTTCGCCTAAATCAAATTACCAAGCCCTACGAAAAACTACCAGGTTTGACGAGGGCTTGAAGGGCTCGAAGCGTTTTTCGTGTCTTCGGCCTAGATTCGGTCTGTAGGGTTTCGGACCTAGGGCCCTAAACCCTAAACCCTGAACCCTAAACCCTAAACCCTGAGCCCTGAATCCTAAACCCATGTTTTGCTGTAAGGCTTTGGGGGGCTTTCGGGCTTGAAGGACAAGAAAGACCGATGCGGAGAAGTGTCCCGGCGTGAGTGCAGATAGGTTTTTAAACAGTTTTTTCAACCTCCGAAATAGGGTTTAGGGTTTAGTGTTTAGGGGGTTTCCGAAACTAGCTGGTGGTACCTTATTGGGGTCCTTATGATAAGGGAATCCTACTATTCGGGGGGTCTATTTTAGGGGCCCCCTATTTTCGTAAACCCCCGAATAGGGCAGCCCCCTAGCAATAGGGCATACCCCGCAAGCAGTATGTAGCTAGGGCCTCAGGTACCCAGAGAGCCCAATACCCCTTAATTAAGGAACATACCTTCAATTCTAAAGGGATCCTTATTATGATTTAAGGAGAATTCCTTAAATTCTAAAGGGATCCTTATTATGATTTAAGGAGTATTGCTTAAGGGGTATTGGGGTAGGGTTCCTGAAGACTGGTCCTTAAGGGACGGAGACGGGGAGATCGGACCTTGGAGGCTTGAGGCCAAGCCGGCACGGTTTAGGGTTTAGGGTTTGGGGTTTAGGGCTTAGGGTTTAGGGTTTAGGGTTTAGGGTTTAGGGTTTAGGGTTTAGGGTTTAGGGTTTAGGGTTTAGGGTTTAGGGTTTAGGGTTAGACTGAAGGGATGGATTCGGCGGAGGCCGAAACCGTCTGCTCTGAGGGCCCTTAGGGTTTAGGGTATTTGTGGGTTCTAAGATTCTAAGCCTTAGGAAGACCAACAAAAGGCCTCAAATCCCCAAACCCTAGATCCTTGGACTAGACCCCAACCCCTGAACCCCTAAAATCCCAAAACGAAACCTCCTAACTTTGTTATTTAAAGCAACAGTACTGCGAGCCCCATAAACCCGTAGAATCCGCAACTCGACCACCCTAGGGCCCTGAACGGTTTAGGATTTAGGGGGTTGGGGGTTAGGGTTTAGGGTTTAGGGTTTAGGGTTTAGGGTGTAGGGTGTAGGGTTTAGGGTTTGGGGTTTAGGGTTTAGGGTTTAGGGTTTATGGACCGAGGAAGCCTCCAATGAACACCACGTGTTTCTTTTTGAGACTTGGTCGCCCAGTCGTGCCCTTTTGCCTTTTTTGTGGGTCCTTGATCCTATATCCAATTTTAGGCTTAGGGCTCAGGGTTTTGTAAAGGCCAAAATGGTGCCCTTAGTGCACCCTGACTATCATCTAATACTTGTTTAAGAACCCCAACAGGTATGAATATTAATCCCTATATGGCCCTTATAAGGAAGATTTGTGTACTCTCTTGCGGGGTTCTTAGGCAAATAGTAGCCTTAGGGTTCCTGGCCTACCAAGGAGGGTGTGCAGACCGCCGTCCGCGCTGCACCCTGGACGCATGCTGGGGTCGTCCGCTAGGCCCTAATACGGGGGGCCTGAATAATTAGAACAGGGTTTTGGAGGGTATTATAGTATGATTACAAAGGGACCATAGGGGAATATTATGAGTAATTAGTCCGACCCCGGACCCCTAGATTAAACTCTCTTTGTACGAAGTGTTTGGTTGTCGGAGGTGAAAATTTCAAAGGGCAGGGCCTACATGGAACCCGCTCATGAGCGCACCTGAGGTATAAATGCGGAGCAATGATGTTGCACAGCGTCCCAAACAAAAGAAGCGCACGTCTGTATGGTTAGATGACAAAGTATGCAGTTGCTCAGACCCCATGTCCTGGCATCATGATTGGATTGTTGGCCGTGGCCGAGTGATTTGCCCCGTCTCCTCCTGCAACTAACACTGGCAAAGGCAAAAGTGAAACGAAACGAATCGGGAGACCAACCTTCACTCCGAAACCCTAAGATCAACTCACCTTTCAAGGCAAACTGATTAATTGCAGCCTTAACCCCACTACAGCTCAAATGAGAGTTTTCTCCCGTGACCCCAGACCCTCTCCGCCTTTGGGGGACTCAGACGGATATCCTGACGGCTGCTGGTCAGACTAAGCTTCCGATCCCTGCGCCTTTAAATCCTAAACCCTAAGCCCTAAACCCCTAAACCCCTAAACCCTTCAGCCGTAAACCCTAAACCCTAAACCCTAAACCCTAAACCCTAAACCCTAAACCCTAAACCCTAAACCCTAAACCCTAAACCCTAAACCCTAAACCCTAAACCCAATAAACGCGTAGCCTCCGAGGTCTCCAGAAAGGGGCAGAGTGATCCCCTTTTCTCCGTGGTGAAGATTGCTGAGCTGCTGCTCCCAGCGACCACGGCAGTGCTGGCGCTCAAGCATCTGGGTTTGGGCACTGGCGCATTTTTTTGGTTTTGCTATTCTTGTTTCTACTACTATTATTGTTATTCTTGTTATTGCTATGCTTGTTCCGATTATGTCTAGGGTCTTTGGTAAAGGGAAACTAAGCTTCAGCTATTTCAAGGTACCTTCTCTGTCAAGTCTTCCCAGGCACGGCCTCCGCAGTATGCCAATGCCCACGCGAGCGAAGCTGAAGAGCTTCCTCTGCGCCTTTTTCAAGGAGATCTCTGAGAAGGAGTTCCTGTCACAGTGAAGCCTTCCAAAGAAGGAGGCGGACAGGAGGCTTTAGGGTTTAGGGTGTAGGGTGTAGGGTTTAGGGTTTAGGGTTTTAGGGTTTCAGGGTTTCAGGGTTTCAGGGTTTAGGGTTTAGGGTAAATCATGGGGTTCGCGGGCCCGCGTTCTGAAACCAGGGTGCCGGTGTTCTGGCCACAGGCATGCTCGCGGACCGCAGCGGGTGATGACCAACTATTATAGGGGCCTTAAGAATTCGAATAGGGTTTTGCGGGTTATTGTAGCATATGTGCATGGGGGCCATAAGGGAATGCTACTAGCAATTAGTCCGGCCCCTATAGTATTTTGATTTGTCGTAACTGCGCGAGGGATGCCTGCCGATCCAGAGCGCCGTTTGCAAGAAGCGACCTGCGGGAGAGGGTCCGGTGGAAGGCTTACAGCAACACCCTATAGGCTTGCGTAGCCCCTAATATCTATTTTGTTATACTACCTATGCTTGTACTATCACATTCCTATGTTATTGTATTGTTATATCATTACTAAGCACCTTGCGCCCGGAGAGAAAGAGATTCTGCCCTTCAGCCGACACCCCCCGAAACCCTAAAACCCCAAGTCCGGCCTCTTCATGACTCATCCTATAGGGGCTTGAGCCTTGCATGTGTGGCGTGGCTCGCGCGACTCGATTCTCTACAAGCCCGGTTTAGGGGGTTTAGGGTTTAGGGTTTAGGGAATAGGGACCATAACTGCCATTCCCTGGATCCTGCCTGCGCTGGCTTGGCGTGCCTGATCACTTGCTGCAGAGGATACCCTGTCGGGGCGAGGCTGGTGACAAAAATTGCTCAAGAGTGTGGGCAGACGCAGTGACTGCAGACCCTAAGACCAAAAGACCGCAGCACAAAGACGACCTTGCCGACGCCCCTATCGCACAGAAGGTTGTTCTGCAGGTAACGATTCAAGAGCCAACGTTCCCCCCTAAGCCCGAAGGAATCCCAAATCTGGTCACGTGTTTCAGCACGCACTGCTGCCAAGTCCTAGCCACGTGAGCATTGATTCATTTTTGTCGGCCAGTGCACAGGGGCTGCAACTGGCAAGATCTGCGCCTTGGATTCCAGGAGGACCAAGAACGTCTAGCTCGCAGCGCACCTCAGAGCAGATGGCAGACAGGCTGCGCAACCCAGTTAGCGTGTGCCAGGTTGTTGTCTTACAACTTCTCCGAGTTGTCAGGGGTTTCAGGATTGGCCTCAGGAAAGCCAATGCCCAGTTGACGCAAGTTCCGCGCCGGGGATGGAAAATGGAGAGACTCCTGTCAGTTGCCCCTGAGACAGTGGATCCTGCGCTATTTAAACCGCTGATTAATCCCAAATCCCAAATCCCAAATACCAAGCCCTAAGCCCTAACCCCTAAACCCCGCACGCCAAATCTTAAATTCCATTCCCAAGCCTACACCCGCTTCGATAAGGTACCGCAAGGCCTCTCACCCCAAACCTTCAAGCCAACCATCTGGCATTGGGGCGGGTTTAGGGTTTAGGGTTTAGGGTTCAGGGTTCAGGGTTTTTTTAGAGCATAGGATTTAGAGACGGCTTGGGGTCTTCCAGGTCAAGGGTCCTTGCGGAAGTGTAAAGCCCCTAAGCCCTCTTCATAAATTCCCAGAAATCCGACGCTGAAAGCCCTCAGACCCTAAACCTAAAGCCCCAAATTCTCAGCAGTCTCCAACCCCCTGCCCAAAAAGAAGAGGCAAAACAAAAATCAGAAAATGATCCCTAA